CGCCGAGCGGGCGTCGTGCGTCACCGCGGTCCATGCGCGCCCGCCGGCCGCCGCTGCAGGCAGAACGCGATCGCAGCGCGCCGGGCAGGCGACCGGACGCAGCGCAGCCGCGAGTCGTACTCAATAACATCTCGTGCGGATGGACGAACGGCGAGAGAAGCGGCGGCGGCGGCGTTGCCCCGAAGTGGGAGAACGTCGTCGCGCGGGGGACGCGGGAGCGGTCGCCGAAGCCGCTGCGGTCGCCTCGCCGGCCGAGCAGAGCCGGAGTCGTCGTCGTCGACGCCAGCAGGTGCTTACGACGTCGGGGCGTCGCGGACGCTGGCTGTCGGTCGCGCGACACCGTCGCCGCGGATGCGTACACGCTGTCATGCCGCGACGACGGGGTGGGTTCGGACAGCGCGTCCTGCGAGAGTGCGACCGCGTGTTCTGACGTTTCGCGCCGCGCTGGTATCGCGAGCACATCCAGGGTAACTGCACGTGCAGTCCGACTCTTGGAACGCGGCAAGATGGCGGGCGACGACGGAATAACGTTGCCACGACGACGCGTAGCCGCGACCGCGGCGCCGGCGCAGCGGGATCGCTCGCAGCGCATCTGCGCGAGACAAGTGAGCGTGCTTCTGTCGGACGTGATGAGGCGGCGGCGCCACAGCAAGCCGGTGCGCGACGACGGCGGCAGCGACGGTTGCCGTGCCGACTGGCGCCGCCTACTGCACATGGACGGACAGTTCCGCGCGTTTCCCGCACGCGAGGAGACTGTGATGTACGTAACCGTGACGACGGACGGAAGCTCGAGCGACGACGAGGACGACGCGACGTCCGGCGCTAACCCTTACCCGCCAGTAGGTGGCAGCAGCGAGGATGAGGTTAATCCGCTGGATGACCTAGATGATGACGGTAGTGACGGCAGCCGGGAGGCCGAGCGGAAACCAGTGCGAAGGGAGGAGAAGGCTAGCGATGTGAGCGAGGGCTCCGGTGATGAAGAGGAGGTGGAAAGGAAGCCATCCCAGAGGGAGGAGAAGGCTAGTGACATGAGCGAGGGCTCCGGTGATGAGGAGGAGGAGGCAGAAAGGAAGTCATCCCAGGGGGAGGAGAAGGCTAGTGACATGAGTGAGGCATCTGGTGATGAAGAGGAGACAGAAAGGAAGACATCCCAGGGGGAGAAGGCTAGTGACATGAGTGAGGCATCTGGTGATGAAGAGGAGACAGAAAGGAAGACATCCCAGGGGGAGAAGGCTAGTGACATGAGTGAGGCATCTGGTGATGAAGAGGAGGCAGAAAGGAAGCCATCGCTGAGTGACAGGGCCAGTGAAATGAGCGAGGGCTCCGGTGATGAAGAGGAGGTGGAAAGGAAGCCATCCCAGAGGGAGGAGAAAGCTAGTGACATGAGTGAGGCATCTGGTGATGAAGAGGAGGCAGAAAGGAAGCCATCGCTGAGTGACAGGGCCAGTGAAATGAGCGA